TTTCATCACTGTCATAGTCGACCCCAAGACGGTTTCATAGTCGACTGCTTGAAGAGCGAGAAATTCAACGAAATTAAATTTGTGGACGATCGTAAATGGAATGCGTGTAACTTGTACCTCGGACTACGAATATTTGTATTACTAGTCTGAGCTTGTACTGAATGCAAGAGACTGTTTTTATTTGCTATGGGTGGTGACTATTATGCAAATTATCTGTCCATTATGTCTTTGGCTAATTAATTAAAACATAGCTTTCAAAACAATGACATGTGCTTTTGTTTTTAATTAACAAAAATTGATTTTTACACCCTATAAAAACATCCAATTCACTTTTTTTCCTACTGAGTGTTTGCTCCTTGTAGTCCAGCATTGAAAAATACAAAAAAGTAGAATTTTGGGTTTCAAAGCAAAAAAAGGTGTACAGCAACCTTAATATGTTTTTTAAAATGCAAAAAATAATCATATTTTGTGATAAGTGACAGTTGCCATGATGATATGATTTAGTTAATATAACACTTACCTTCGTTTTCATTAAGTATTTCATCAGCTGAAAACAAAAACATGCAGTCATTATTTTGAGTCGTTTGATCATTGGTCAGTTAAGTTGATATACCATTGCTAACATACACATACGAGTTATAAAACAGCACTTTGACTTTCTGATGAGTTCAGGCATTGTGTCTAGGCATTTGTAGATGAGAATTACACAACAATCTGACAAATTTGAGGAGTTTGTGGCATAGAGTCTAGTTTTCATGGAGAATTCTTGTAACAATTTGAGCGTCTTTGGGGAGTTCATGCATTGTGTCTAGGTATACGTGGAGGAGAATTACAAAGCAATTTGCCAAATTCTAGAAATGTAGGCATTGTGTCTAGGTGTTTGTGGAGACTTCATAGAGTGCTTGTGGAGAGTTCAGACATTATACAGAATGATGGAAGTAAACTAAACATTTGGTAATCTTTCTACCACAACATATGTACATGTCATGTACTGGTATATTATGATAACTTGTCGTATATTTTGTATGTTTTAAGACTTACCTTTTTGTCTCAATTCATTTTTTTCTTTAAAAAGTCTTTTCACTCTTTCTACTAGTTCCCATTTCTCACAACATCCCTTGAAATCTACAAAATTAGTGGCAAGGATTTCTTTCAATTGCCGTATAGTCATATTGTCAATATCGTTTATCTCAGAGAGGTCACTGATTGAAGCACGTTGCCTGGCAGGTCTTGAATCAGGAGGCGGCTGAAGCAAAGTGACAAACAAACACTTGGTGAATAATATAATACAGCTTACCAAAAAGTGATTCAGCAATATCTTAGCAATCAACCTATCAGAAATTATGACTTAAGTTCACTTACAGTACATGGCTTAAAGTGAAGTACAGTGAAGCATAGTTTTACTCCTAAACAGACTCTAAAGCTGGCTTTGTTTTAATATAGAAACTTACAATTTTTAAAATGTGAATTATCTCAACCTTTCAAACTTCCATCAATTATTAATTTTTCTGCACTTTTTCCTTATACTCATCAATATATATTTATACCTGAATTTTGGAGCCAACAGACAACATTTGAGTAAATTTTCAGTTTTTAATAAAAAATTTGGCTATTTTTGTTCTAATCTTCTGAAAGAAAGTGCAGACTATAAACAGAACTATTTTGTGAATTTGTGATGAAAAGAGGGAACTGGTGGTAAAAAGGTTGAATATCGGAAATCTTAACTTATTTTTTATAGTATTTACCAAAGTTACTACGGGTAATATGAGGTATATTCAAACCAGCTGGAAGTGTCATGTACAAATAATTCTCCCACTTCTACAACTTTCATCGAATTATAAGTTTTTGTACAGTATTGGATCTA